GTTGCTGCTGCCACTACTTCTGCTACTGAAGTTGTTGCTGCCACTACTTCTGCTACTAAAGTTGCTGCTGCCACTGCTTCTGCAACTGAAGTTGCTGCTGCCACTACTTCTACTACTGAAGTTGCTGCTGCTACTACTTCTGCTACTGAAGTTGCTGCTGTCACTACTGCTGCTACTGAAGTTGCTGATGCCACTACTTCTGCTACTGAAGTTGCTTCTGCCACTACTTCTGCTGCTGAAATAGCTGCTGCCACTACTTCTGCTACTGAAGTTGCTGCTGCCACTACTTCTGCTACTGAAGTTGCTGCCACTACTTCTGCTACTCAAGTTGCTGCTGCCACTACTTCTGCTACTGAAGTTGCTGCTGCTTCTTCTGAAGTTGCCGCTGCCACTACTTCTGCTACTGAAGTTGCTGCTGCCACTACTTCTGCTACTGAAGTTGCTGCTGCCACTACTTCTGCTACTGAAATTGCTGCCACTACTTCTGCTACTGAAGTTGCTGCTGCTTCTACTGAAGTTGCCTCTGCCACTACCTCTGCTACTGAAGTTGCTGCTGCCACTACTTCTGCTACTGAAGTTGCTGCTGCCACTACTTCTGCTACTAAAGTTGCTGCTGCCACTACTTCTGCTACTGAAGTTGCTGCTGCCACTACTTCTGCTACTGAAGTTGCTGATGCTTCTACTGAAGTTGCTGCTGCCACTACTTCGGCTACTGAAGTTGCTGCCACTACTTCTGCTACTAAAGTTGCTGCTGCCACTTCTTCTGCTACTGAAGTTGCTGCTGCTTCTACTGAAGTTGCCGCTGCCTTTACTTCTGCTACTGAAGTTGTTGCTGCCACTACTTCTGCTACTGAAGTTGCTGCTGCTACTACTTCTGCTACTGAAGTTGTTGCTGCCACTACTTCTGCTACTGAAGTTGCTGCTGCCACTACTTCTGCTACTGAAGTTGTTGCTGCCACTACTTCTGCTACTAAAGTTGCTGCTGCCACTACTTCTGCAACTGAAGTTGCTGCTGCCACTACTTCTGCTACTGAAGTTGCTGCTGCTACTACTTCTGCTACTGAAGTTGCTGCTGTCACTACTGCTGCTACTGAAGTTGCTGCTGCCACTACTTCTGCTACTGAAGTTGCTGCTGCCACTACTTCTGCTACTGAAGTTGCTGCTGCCACTACTTCTGCTACTGAAGTTGCTGCTGCCACTACTTCTGCTACTGAAGTTGCTGCTGCCACTACTTCTGCTACTGAAGTTGCTGCTGTCACTACTGCTGCTACTGAAGTTGCTGCTGCCACTACTTCTGCTACTAAAGTTGCTGCTGCATCTACTTCTGCTACTGAAGTTGCTGCTGCCACTACTTCTGCTACTGAAGTTGCTGCTGCTGTTACTGAAGTTGCTGCTGCCACTACTTCTGCTACTGAAGTTGCTCCTACTACTATTATTTATTAATACAGCTTATTAGTCTTGCATACACTAATTTTTAAAATTTTAGTTTGTTTATTTGTTAAACGAGTGTCGTACAATGGACCACATTAAAATAAAAAAAAATAAAAAAACATGGAAAATCTATATAAGAACATTAAATAAGCCTCAAAACACAATTGTTAACCCTCTCACAGTCATATTTCTTAGTTTGTATTGTTATCTCTCTCCGCACAACGCCTCCTCCCTTACCAACCCACGTCATTCTCTTTTCCCCCAGCTGGTTTTAGTTTATTTTTAATTTGTAAAATGTAATTCTGACAAATTCACCAGCTTGATATGAAATGTGCCACATGTGACATGTCAGTAGGTCATTACTAACAATCTAGACTCCCCTGTGCTTACACAATCCAGATTGCACAGCTCACAGCTTAGCAGTTATACCCCCTTCCCCCACCCTCTTTCCCCATACTAGCTAGTAGGGATGAAATGCACTCAAAGAACACTTGATTATATAAAAATAGCCAACATCCAAAAATATATAAATTAAATCATTGAGGTGCATTTATATAAAACAGTTGTCCACAATATTGAAATAAATAGTTAAAAAAAAACTAATATTTGTTCTGGAATATGTTTTATGGAATTACATAGTCAGGTAGAGATTTTGAGAATGTAAATTTTCAATTTAAGAAACTATCAGTGGTACCGCTAAACAGGCTAAAACCATACATTGAAAACATTGGAGATTGCCCAGTGGGTTTCCGACAGAACAGATCAACAGTAGATCAGATGTTAATGGTATGGCAAATAACAGAACACAACTGGTAATATAGAAGAGATGTAGAAAATGTTTTTGTGGATTTAAAAAAAGGCCTATTATAGTGTACATAAAAACAGTTTATGAAATGCGATGAAGGACTTTGGAAAACCAAAGCAGTTAATCACCATGACCAAACTATATGTGGAAGACACTTGTAATATATAAAGGCAAAAAATAAGACACTTTTTAGATGTATGGATTAAAGCACATTGATGCTCTGTCGCCCCCCCCCCCCCCCCTTCCCCCCCCCCTTCCCCCTTTTTTTTTCTCCCCAAGACTTTTCAACTTGGCCCTGAAAAAAATTATAAGAAAATTTAAACAAGATTGTACTGTAGGAGAAACTACAAGAATACTTGGTTATGCAGATGACATTTATTTCATTAGAGAAAATAAACTGGAGACTGTAAAAAACATTGACTTGATTTTAAAAAAAAAGTTACCTCACAGAATGGGACTAGTTGTCACTCAAGATAAGACAGAATACATGATAATACCAAGACGGGAAAAGGATATAAACTCCTGGCCGCATACAAATTGATAATATGAAAATCAAATGAATGGAAACATATAAGTACCTGGGTGCAAACTTCAACTGCTCCAACATGCTGAGAGAAGAAATACAATCTAGAATACAATCTGGAAATAAAGTATACTATGCCCTTCAACATCTGCTAAAGTCAAAGTCTCTATTCTCGCAACACAAAGATCAAAATATATAAAATGTTGATAAGACTAGACTTATTATGTGCTTCTGAAACTTGAAGCACAACTAAAAGAGATGAAGCCTTATTACAAATTTTAGAAAACAGTCTTATGACGAATCTTTGGACCAGTCAAAGATGCAAACAGTAGGAAATGGAGAGTGAGAAGTGGCAATGAAATTCATAATCTTGTTTAAATCGCCACTGATCACTGACATCATGAGAGCTAACTAAGTTAATAGACTGAAATGGCTGGGGTATATTGAGAGAATTTTAGATGACAGAAGTAAAAACTGTATACAAAAGGTAGCTGAATGGTCATATGCCATGAGGTAGACCAAGAAGACGACAGAGAGATAACGTCCAAACAGACATAAAAACACTTAGTGTTGCCAACTGGAAAGAGAAGGCCAACAAGAGATATGAGTGGAGGCGGGTGATGCCTGCAGCGGTGAACCTCAAGGGTTCAAAAAGCTGATGAAAAAGAAGAAATTTAAAACGTTTTTCCCTAATTTTGTTTATTCTTTCTTAACATCATATTCCCCTAGAATATTAATGTTGTTTACAATATAATACTTTTTGGGGGGGGGGGGGGGGGGGGGAGGTTTGTGTATATGTATGTTGTATGCGCTGCACACACTAACACTATGTTGCTATACTGAAGAAAGTTGTTTTAGGGAGAGAGAATTAAACTGTAATTGTATAGCAGTCACTATCAGTGATAGTTCTACCACAGACATGTCCCTATAACATTCAGTATAAAACAATAGCACTAGGTGTGTGTGGTTCATTAGGGTCTGATCCACAACTATCATATGAAACACTTTAACAGGTGGTATGTGTGGTTCAGTTATGTCCCCACAACTGTCAGTATGAAACAGTGTAACAGATGGTACGTGTGGTTCAGTCATTTCCCCACAACCATCAGTATGAAACACTATAACAGCATGTGGGCGTAATACTTTCAGAATGAAACATATTATCTTTGTTTCTGGATCATTAAACCAACATATTTTCTGGTTTATTTTAAAATTATTTATTCCTTACTCTTGAACTTTTAAAGTGTGAACCAGATCATGTGAAAACCTGAAGTCACACAGACTGTAATGTTTTTCAAGTGTTACAGTACTTTATTTTTACTATCAAATTTACCACACATTTCTATTAACTGTAAAGTAACCTTAATTTCTTACCGAGTTTGATTTTTTAAATTCTTCTTAATGTCCATTATTTATGTCTTTAGTAAACATGTCATTCTGAGGCCTTCTGTTTGTGTTCTATCAGTCATTTCTGATAGAGATGCTCTTCCATGGCATTGTGCCAAACTGTTCATCTCTCTCTTTCTTGGTCTGCCTCTCTTCTTCTAACCTTCGCACTGTCACAGTGTACTCCCGTTCTGCCCCAAGAAGTGGATTGTCCACTTCTGAAGTGAGTAATCAGTTCTTTTTGTGTGTTTTTTTTTTTTCAGGAATCTTCATTATGCCTTTTTATTGTGTTCATTGTATTCTCATCATTCTTCTATAATACATTGTCTTCCAGAGTAGTTTGTCACTAACTTGCTGATTGTCTGTGGACATTTACTATATCATCATCACCATCACCACCCTGTTGTGCCATTACATGTCACAAAGGGCTCACAGTCTAGTCCTTCATATCCTTCTGTCCTGATATTCATTTTATGTGTTAATACATTAATACATTCAGCATTTTGTTCAATATAATCCTTGTGTGGGTTCTGGTGATCCCACTGCCGCCAAGAAGCATGCTGTAAAAGTTGTCTAATGAGGTGTGTATCTTTCCATGTGTACATCAGTCTGAGAGGCAAGGAGCTAGCAGTCTCCATACAAATACACCAGCTCTATTCAATGGATGTGCACTTAGAATTCATGTTCTGGAACAACACTCAAATCCAGAACTGGACAAACAACTAGAAATTTGCAGCCAGTGAATGCACAGAATAAGATTAATGTACTGAAATACACATGTATATTTTCATGTAAAATAATCTAATTCCTTACAACTGACAGTCATCTTGTGTATATATCTGTATCTGTTTTCAGCTGATAATTGAAGAAGTGAATGGAACAACTGGGTCTGATCCCCAAGTTATTTGCTGGCGAACATTGTGGCGAAAAAGAATCCCCATTGTGTTTCAGTACAGTGTACCTATAAGGATTACGTATGTCTGGGATCGGCACAGCCAGAGTGGTTTCTCATTGGACTTTAGCTTTTTGAGGCCAGAAGGTAACATGTCTCATTAGTGTGTAGTATTTGATATAGCATTCATATTTGATGACAGCTCATTCAATGTTGGACCACCAGCTTCCCCTCCTCATAATGATGATGATGATCTTGTCTTTTCTAGAAACAATATAATCAAACTGCTGTTGGTACCAGCAGAGCTGGGACTCTTCAGTGGCTGCTGGAGATCAGTATATAGTGCTTAATGGCAATGTCGCCAGTCCAGTGATGGCGGTACTTGACTCACCTGAGCTCTCCCCAGTCCTGTGATGGTGGTACTTGACTCACCTGAGCTCTCCCCAGTCCTATGATGGTGGTACTTGACTCACATGAGCTCTCTCCAGTCCTGTGATGGCGGTACTTGACTCACCTGAGCTCTCCCCAGTCCTGTGATGGCGGTACTTGACTCACCTGAGCTCTTCCCAGTCCTGTGATGGTGGTACTTGACTCACCTGAGCTCTTCCCAGTCCTATGATGGCGGTACTTGACTCACCTGAGCTCTCCCCAGTCCTGTGATGGTGGTACTTGACTCACCTGAGCTCTTCCCAGTCCTATGATGGCAGTACTTGACTCACCTGAGCTCTCCCCAGTCCTGTGATGGTGGTACTTGACTCACCTGAGCTCTCCCCAGTCCTGTGATGGTGGTACTTGACTCACCTGAGCTCTTCCCAGTCCTGTGATGGCGGTACTTGACTCACCTGAGCTCTCCCCAGTCCTGTGATGGCGGTACTTGACTCACCTGAGCTCTTCCCAGTCCTATGATGGCGGTACTTGACTCACCTGAGCTCAACTATGTTTCAGCATTTAGTACCATTGGTGGCAGTACAGATTGTTTTATCAAGACAAGTAAAGTGCACTTGTGTGAGGTCTGATTGTTAAGTTCAGAAACTGAATCCTTTTTTGTTTTTAAGCAAGACATAATATAATATATATAAGATAAAATTAATACAGTGCATGTAACTTCTTCTTCTTCTTTCGTTTGCTCGAAATAGATTATCTATATCTGCAATGTTGTGTTTAGTATGAACTACACTGTCCTTTGTAATTCACTCAGTGACCCGTAAAGTTTGACTTGCACCGATGTTTTTTCTTGGCCAAAGTGTTGCCTTGACATGTTGTATTTGGGACAGTCTTGGAGGACATGATCAGTTGTCTCAGGTGCCAGTCCATATGTGCACATGGCTGATTCGCCAATTTTAAACCTTGTGTACATGTGGCTGTGAAGTCGATTGTGTCCTGTTCTAAGGCGTAGAGTAAAAACTTGCTCTGGTCTGTCCATAGAATGGTAATCATCTTGTGTCGGTTTTGGTAGCTTTTTGATAGATTTGATTATTCTCTTCTTTTGTAGATAAGAGACTGGTGTGTCAGGTTGTTCTTCATAAGTACATGTAACAACCTGTGTACAGATTAAATTGGAATCTGAAAAAAGTAATAAATGTGATTAAAAACATTTGGGAGCTCATATAAGAGCTGTAGATGTTGAACTGATATGGACATGGCTGGAAGAAAATCCAAACCACAACGAAAATTGATTAAGATCAGCTTTCACATTCTACATATATTCCATTACAGGGAATGATTTAGCAAAATCAGTCCTAAATACTGTCATTGTGGTGTGGTGTTTTAGGCTTTCACATATTCTAGGTCACAGATTGATTCAGTACAATGGCCTTTTCCTTGTTTATTGTGTTTTGATCTAGTGCAATTCTCAGAAAATTATCTGGCAGCCAGTATTATGTCTTGACACAACATTAGTGGTCTCTCTCTCTGTCTCTCTGTGTCTCTCTGTTTCTCTCTCTGTCTCTCTGTGTCTCTCTCTGTCCCTCTGTCTTTCTCTGTCTCTCTCTCTGTCTCTATCTCTCTGTCTCTCTCTGTCTCTCTGTCTCTCTCTGTCTCTCTCTGTCTCTCTCTGTCTCTCTTTGTCTCTGTCTCTCTCTGTCTCTCTCTGTCTCTCTGCCTCTCTCTGTCTCTCTGCCTCTCTCTGTCTCTCTCTGTCTCTCTCTCTCTGTCTCTCTCTCTGTCTGTCTCTGTCTCTCTCTGTCTCTTTCTCTGTGTCTCTCTCTGTCTCTCTCTGTGTCTCTCTGTGTGTCTCTCTCTGTCTCTCTTTCTGTCTCTCTCTGTCTCTCTTTCTGTCTCTCTCTCTGTCTCTCTGTCTCTCTCTCTGTCTTTCTCTCTCTCTGGCACACACGCAAGCATGCACGCACGCACACACACACAGACAGACAGAGTAAATCCACCACTGTTTGACCCAGACTTCTTTCTTTGTAGGCAACATAACCACAATGTCACCATAGCTCACACGATTGAACCTCTGTTGGCTTTTCTGAGTTTGTAGTTTCCTTGAATATCTAAAAAAAAACTCAATTGGATTTTATTGTCTTATCTCATCTCATCTCATGTCTCATCTTTGTTATAATGGATAGAATTTGGATAGTGCCGTATAAAAACCTGCATTATGTGATAGATATTGGATAGTGCTGACTGATTAATAACCCTTCTAAAACCTGTTATGTTTAGCTGATACATTGTTTGGTTGATCAGTTAATTTATTCTAGAAATTTTGTTACTCTCAACTGTGAATATACACACTGATTGACTGATTGATTGACCCTTCTAGAGACTTTATGGTCAGCTATAATAGACACATTGATTGATTGATTGATTGACTCTTGTAGAAACGGTTTTTCTCGGATGTAAATCATCACTCTGATTTCATTGACTTGTCTAGAGAAATTGTTTTGCTCAGCTGTAAATAGACATAATGAAAAGATATAAAACCAAACGAAAAATAGATCAGTGAGCTTCACAATATAACAAACACGAACGAAATGTGAATGATCTTCAGGCCACAGATTATAGATACTTCCAGGACACACATGAATCAAACAAAACCACACAAATATACAAAATCACTTGAATGTCGTATCCTGAAGCAGCCACGTTGATGTCTTGCCAGTGGAATGAATAGACAACATGCGGCCTGAGAATATATAGCGGTGAAATGCCAAGGGCCGTAACTTGAGAATTTTTTTAGATAAAACTATGTTGACAATTCAGTCCCCTGGGTGTGAAGGTTCCCAAAGTAAAAAAGTGATTTTCAAGGCACTTGCGGACTCTGTTGCTGGAGTAGCTAAATTTAATGGCTGTCACTCCAATGTCATGGACACCTTTGGTGATCCTGGGAGTTGGAGACATAAGATACCCATTGTTTGTTTTATAATTTATAATTTTTCTAATTTTATGTTATGTAACATTTAACATTGTTTTGCAATGTGCTAAACATGCTAACATAGTTTAACTGAGCATGTTGTACTACTGCACATTTTCTATAATTTATTATCTCTGGTAGTAATTCATACAGTGTATATTATGGTTCTGTTCACTGCTCAAAGTGGGTTCTGCTGTATTCCGGTGCTTTGCTCCCAAAAAATTACTCTCAAGACAGGAAAGTTTAAAAAAAAAATGCTGTCATGTGATATGTCTTGGGCCTTTGATGCTAAGACAAATTTTATAGATCAGTCAGCAACTTATTGGAGGGAAGGGGGGGGGGGGGGGGGGAGCACATCATACAGAGTGTTTGACTTCCCTGGACATTTCTTGGAATCCAGTTTAGGTTGGATTGATCTGGGAGCTGTCAGCAGTCCTGGTTACATTGAAGATCTTCGGGCCACAGACAAGCGTCCTTATTGCAGCAAAGAATTGATGTTGTGCATGCACGCCTATATGCTCCACAAGTAACACACAATCATGGCGGCAAACATAGTTTCACCTCGTTAACATGAACTTGCTTTAAAAAGAACACTTTGTTAACAAGGACAAATTGTGGACTCTGCAGTGATGTATCAGTTTGAGTCCCTGGTTACCACAGATTATTTTTTAAATCAGCTCTTTGTTATTTTGTCCTTTGGAATTTGTGTCAGCAAGTTTTTACTGTAATACAGCTGACTGTTGCTTTGCCTGTGTCTTACGGGACCTATAAAGGAGCATCATCCTTCTCGTCACATCCTGCATGAAAGAAACTGGGTCTCTCACTAGATCTTCCACCTCTTGTGCCCCTCTACCCAAAGTTTCACTTATATACATCTTGTGCCTGTCTTTGTGCTTGTAGACCTCTGTCCCTCTTTCCTGGTACCATGCCTTCTGCTACTGTTCTTTTCACTCTGCTGTGGCGAGCTTGATACGACCAAAATATTTTAGTTTCCCAGACAGAATGTTGTTTACTAGTTTTATTAGTATTTCTTTTCTTTTTTAGTCCATGGTATTCTGTAACATTTCTGTTCAGAAACCCTTATTTTCTTCATTGTGGACTGGAACATAGTCCACAACTGATATCTGTATGTTGCTGCAGGGAGGATGCATGCCCTGAAAATTGTGACCCTGTTTTCCTTGCTGAAGCTTAACCATTGACTTTCAAATCTGATAAACGGTATAGGAACTCTGTAACCTGTCATACATGTCGTAAGAAGCCACTCAGGAGGGTTGTCCTGGGACTGGCTACCTCATCCCATAAACAAGTAGCTGCAATATACAAGCAATCATGAACAAGTTACAAAGGATATGTCATATTGATACAGCGTATATGCATCAGTAGGAGGTGAAAGTTAAAAGAAGTCAAAAATTGTTTGCATTCCACTAGTAGTCATGGGTGCAATTAATGAACATTTGAATGATCTAAGGGGCAGTCATGGCCTCAGGTTTGGAAAAGGGGTGGTTGAGAAAAACATAAAGGCATTGTGAAAGCATAACCTGTTTCACCTTTACTCTAGCAGAGTTAAACTCATAGTGGTTAATTCATTTTCCGGATTGACTGTCACATCTTTCTGTCTCTTCGGCCTGAGGAGGTTGTTTAGGGGCAGCGGTTGCTGCATTATTAATGTTTGTTGTTAAGCAAAACGGGGTGGGTTGCAGGACAGATAGTTTTGGAATAAGTAAATAAATTAGGGCAGTCTTTTTCACAGATGCTGTCATGTATGCAAATTACCCTCCACTGGGCTGCACACTGC